ATCTTTTTCAACAGCAAGAAATTTGTACACTAAAACCTCACTAAGGGGGGACGTAGCAATGAAAATTATCTTTGTTACTTTTATGGATATATTGACAAAATTTGGTACACTGATCTGATTTGCTATGCTGATATCATAAATAAAATCAATTTTAAGATACCTAATATAGTTTACAAGTTATAACATTTAATAGACTTTTACAATCATAACATATTAATTGATTAGTTGAACACAATTTTGGTGATATAATTGTTTACAAATATTCATCAAGGCCCACTGTATGCCGTAATGCTATTAATTTATTTTTATATGTCAAAATGAGCACAGTAGAAACTTCTGAAGTGTCTTATGCATGTTTTCTTACTGACAACTTTTGCAAAAACAAAATCATAAATTTTTTTGCGACTTGCAGGCAAAAATGAATAGCGTTACCGCGTTCACCAGTGTTTCAGGAGCTAAGTTTAAAAAACAGAATTAGTTTAGCTTCATTAGTTATGAAGTAGCACTAGTATGACCGACAGCAACTTCACAAAAAATGGAAGCTGAGAAAACAGAGCACAAAGTTTTGTTACATGAAAGCAGTTTAATATTAGCTATGAGCACCTAAAACCCTCCTGGGATGTAGTCCTTTGCTTTGAGGACATGTTTTCTTTTCACTTCAAGTCGGTTTTGCACTTCTTTGGAGCAGTTTCGTGCACTGTAGTTGGTTTCTTGATGCACCGTGCATTCTTTTCAGCAGCCCACCGCAATGAGCACAATCCTGGAGAGTAGCCAAGTGCTATTTCTTGAAGTGCTTTACCACAGCCAGCATTAAAACGGCAAACTGCATCTGCCATAGCGCTCTCAACACTTAGAAGAGAGGCAAACAGTGTTTTGGACTGGAGCGACCAAATCACACTGCCAAGTGACTCGATGGCATTTCGAGTTCTGCCTTGCTGGCATCTTTCCAGAAGTTTCCTAGCAGAAAGGTGCTTGTATATAGACAGGAGTGCTGCCCGAAGGTGTGCAGAAAGCTGCAGCTTGTTTGCAGGTGCTGGTTCTCCCGAGGCTGCCGCAGCATTAAACTTTCACCATGAGCTGACTCCAGTTGGACAATGCTCATGGTGAGGCTCGATGTGATGTGGTGAAAAGCAGCCATGATGGCCTTTTCCATGGCAGGCACATCATTTGAGTTACTTTTGATGGCCCATCCATAATAGTCCGTGAGTTTTTTAACTAGGCCTTGTGTGAGGCGGCCTCTTCCACTCGTGCTGAGCTCTCGGTCCTTGCTCTTGTCCTTTTCCACGAGGTTGCACAAAGCTGTGCCCATTCTTTCGTCAACGTGATTTACACATTCTTGCTTGTGAATGGGTATGAAACCATACACCTTATCTGCACTGAGGGTGGTAAACGTGCAGCAATCAACATCACAAAGGATGCTTGTATAACGAAGCTGATGTTTTTGAAGTGATTGCTGAAACATGGTCTTTGCTGCAATCGTTTTCATTTGCCCTGAATTCGCCGCTGTTTTTTTTTTTTTGGCACTGCGGTTTGTGTTTTTCATACCACTCCAAGTATCCACTGTCTTGAGGCTTTGGTCCAGCCCTGGCAGTAGTTGTAGAGAACACAGTGGTCCAGGACAAGGCCAGAGTAAACTCAATGACACAGCCAACACCAACGTGGCTTGTGTGGCCCCTTGTTATCCATGTGCCATCATAAATGACATCAATGTTCCGGAAGGCACATCCGAGGTCCTGATATATCTGGCGTACTTTCTCGGCACTTGCACACTCTATTGCTGTGGCTGCAGATGCAGTGGCAGGGTAACTATGCTTGCAGTGCAGCCTCCTGTATGACTTGTGGTGTAAACCCCTCTGTAAAATGGCCATGTGGGAATAAATACCATTCAGTGCAGTTTGATTTTTGCCCACAGACTGCACACGAACATTGATTTCAAAGGGGTTGATCTGCTGAGGGCCAGCACACCTTGGGAACAACTACTCTTTACTTATTGTACCACAGTGGTCACATATAACTTCCATTTTTGTTGCGAGCCCAAGATTAGATTCAGTTTCAAAACGAACAGGGGCCCTCCCACACTGGTGGCAGTGAAATTTTGAAAGCAGCTTATTCTTCATCATCTCTTGGTTGCAACAAAAAATGATGCCTCGGGAACAACATCATCCCAACTTTCGTCATCGTTCAGTAGCTGAAATTTCCTCTTTGTTGCCGGGGTTGCCGATAACGCGTTCAGTGTCCGCTCGCGTCTCTTCATCAGTGAGGGTTGGTGCTGAAATCCTCTGTAGGATACTGAAAGTGCGAACATTTGTGGTTGCAAATGCCATGCCGTTGCTCGCAGAAGGGCGGTCACCGCTGCATGTGGGCGCGCCAACACCGCATGCAGACTCGTTAACCCGGCACGTGAACACATCAACACCACACGCAGATTCGTCGGCACTGCACAGGGACGCAACTTCAACGCCACACGCGCCATCAACATGGCCCGCGGCCAGGCCGTGACCAGCACAAACGGACGTGCTGTCGCAGTCACACACGGGGGAGCTTTCCCGATTCTACCACGGGCACCGGCTCTTCCTGCTCGGCGAGGTCAGCAGAGTTGGCTCCTGTGTCTCGTTTCCTTTTTTATTTCATGGCATTCGTCGTTTTCCGTACGCGTGGACCGTTCAGTACTTTGCTCTTCAGGGGCTTATCGCAAAACACACGCACGTCGAGCAGCGGCGGTCAACACAAGAATGAACAAAGCGCGGCACAGCTCGCTGCTGCGCAAATGCGCACGAAAGCCATTCAAATTATGAACAACCAATAGGAGCGCACCATGTGCCCCCACGTGACTATTGCAATGAATCGCGATGCCACTTTTGCCTTTTTTCGTTCGCTTCTCTTGGTTTTATATTTCGTTATAGAAATACGGCACTGCGGCTACCTTCAGCTCCCATCTCTATCTACGATGATACCCATATGACAGCACTCCGCCGAACGAGAGTCGCGTAATTCGCCGTGCGGCGGCACCATCTGAAGCCCAATTTTCTCGCGGTTTTCGATGACTACATGCTGATAAAGCGCTATTTTCTCGATTACTATGGCGTATATCATGATATTTCACTACGAGGTAACGAAAGGTCTGAGGATCACAAAAAAATAAAACAAAGAAAAGGAAATTTCGACCAAATTCATCATTCCCATTGTCGCGTCCTCCCTTGATTTGAACTGTTATTTTGAAATCTCGCTTAATTCGAGATATTTCTGCAGTCCCGTATTTTGCAATGAAAGTCTCAGCGGATAATTTAAACTGCTGGTTAGCACCAGTTCAGTTAATTCGAAAACTTTAGGTGTCATGTGCAGTTTCCTGATCCAGATGTTCCCGCAAATCTACGAAAACGACGGCCCTTAAGAGCCACAAGGCGAGGAAACTTAGCGGTACTGATGAGTGGCAGCTGACGCACCCCAGCCTTACTATTTCCAGTGGAAAAAAAAAAGGCGGGTGTGTGTGTGTTCGTTACCTACATGTCCGCCAGCAGAAAAACACGACGTGCTTCACTGCCACACAGGGATGACGTGCGGGAAGCATATTACTTGTTTCTCGTTCGTCTGCTCGGTGAGGCACGAGCCCGTCCGAAGCATTGGAGCTGGCTCGGGTAGGTCGGGGAACGCAAAACATGAGTGGTGCGCAAATTATGCGGAGTAAATACAGCGTGTGTGTGTGTGTGTGTATATATATATATATATATATATGCAAGAAAAAGACAACAAAACTTTCATGGAAGCATCCTAACGTTTTCAGCTGGTGGACTAGCCTTCGACGAAAGCTGTTCCACCAGCTGAAAACATTAGAATGCTTCCGTGATAGCTTCGTCATCTCTTTCTCGCACACAATACGTCGGGCCCAGCATGAATGATGTTCAAAAAATCTGGTGTGTGTGCGTGTACGTATATATATATACGTATATATATATTGAAACAAGGCATGTAAAAATAATGTTCACTTTTTAAAGTTTACTATATACTTAAAGTACATAAGACCGTATATTATGAGAATAATATGCTCATTTATCCTTGGGGTGAGGCTTAATGGCAGTGCAGATTTTTCTTTGATTAGTAAATCAGCATAGCACACCTTTGTTGCAATGAAACCACCTTTAAAGGGGCCCTGAAACACTTTTTCAAGTAACCATGGAATGATTTCACCGGAAGAACTTATTGCCTCACGAATTCAACGGCACAAAAATTTTAAGAATTTGTCTACTGCGAGTGGAGTTACAAAGATTTGTCGCATGCTGCAATTGACGAAAGCGCTGGAAGCTAAGCAGGGAGGGATGGCAGGGGTAAAAGAAAACGTCACGTGCCACGTGACCTTGAGCACTTAATTTTTTTTCGAATGCGCGGCTCTGACAGTGTGACCGTGCAGGCACGCGTGGACAAGTTGCAGCCTCCCGCGACAATATCTGTAACGACCAAGCGCACCATGTTCAAATGGGCTTTTCACCAGCGATTTTTGACCGTTTTCCATGATTTGTCAACAAGACAGCAATTTTTAGCAGACTTTGCTAATTTATTGTGAATGCCAGGCCACGTGCTGCACTATAGGATTTGACTAGCGTTTTGTTGGGAGCCTCTACTACCAGTCGGCAGCATTTTGGGACCATGCTCAAAAAGTATTGCAGGGTCCCAGCAATACTTTTTGCACATGTAGAATATACACCCTTGCACATGTAGAATATACATTTATTGGTGATTTTGAATACTTTGAAATTTCTAATGGTTTATACTGGAACCAAAATAAACTTGGATACTATCATATCCATTCGAACAAGCATGGAAAAGATCCATGTGGTTGCATATGTACGTATACAGCAATAACTTTGACACCAAGGGAGTGTGCTGAATTTTATGAAAATATAATGCTCATGCAGTTGTAATATTACTTTGCACATTAAATAACAAGCAAAAATTACCTAATCACTGTCAGTGACATTTTTATCAAGTAATTCACGACAAGTGAGTGAGGCTTTTAAACTTTTATTGGCTTTATTTCATTGTGAATGTGCACGAGAGCAGTTGGTGGGAACTTAGTAAATTCATAGAGCCCTCTTTACATAATGCATCCATGAAGTTCCTCTAGGAAATGAGTGCAGATGGATACACAGACATATTTCTTCCAAGCTGACAAATGGCAAAAACAAGTAGAGAGGCAGATCGAAATTAACAATGCATATTCAACAGAGTCCCATGTGCACTTGAAGCTGATGCAGTCCAACACCACAGTTTATCTGCACAAGCATCAGTGTTGCACCAGGTGCCAGTCTTGGATTCAGTCTTGGCTTGAAGCACTCAGTTTTTCTGAAGTAGCACCCTCCACAACAGCAACTGAGATCCGTTCCAAAATGGTGATGACGATGCAAATGGAGGCCGGCCATTTTTTGTAACTTTTTTTTGTTTTTCAGGAGACAATTTGAGGCATTGTGGTGCATGCTGCGACGTGTTCCTGCCTGGGCCCATCGACCCTTGAGGAAGTTTTGCTGGCAGCTAACTAGGGTCCCGCACGCAAGCAGTCCAACCAAGGGCCCTCTCCCCTTTATCTGCAAGAAGACACTGCCATGTTGTGATGTGTGCCCCCACTTGTCCTAGCTGCTGCTGCTGCTGTTTGGCTCTAATGCTCGAGTCCCTCGGAGCAGCTCAAAACTCAAGGTGGATAGAGGTGTGGAAGGGTGTAAAAGGATCAAAGAAGATAGTCCCTCTGGTTTACAGAAATTCCTGCTACTAGCCATACTTACCTTCCTTTGCTAGTAAGGCACACTACACTAGCTAGAACTCAACACTAGCCCACATGCTGAAGAAAGAAAGAAAGAAAGAAAGACTAAGTAGAGCAGAGAAAAAAAAAACCACCATTAAAAAAATCACAGCAATGAAAGGCCCACTATTTTTGACCAGAGGGACAAAAGTACTAAAAGGAATATGAAGAAGGGCGGGGGATATATCAGGGACCGCAAGAAAGCTTTACTACCTTGCCCGTGCTGGTGCCGGGCTGATAGGGCAGGAAAGTCGATGCTGAGGGGCCTGCCAGCTTGTCTCCCCACATGGAACTCCCAGAACAACCCTATTGGCTGCTGAAGCCCACATAGGATTCTTTAACGCCGCCGCACAGGGCTATGGCTGCCACTGTGCTTGGACTCCTGCAGATGAAAATTAACAAGCAAGAACAGGTAAACACACAGGCAAGACAAATTCACCCCCCCCCCCCCCCCCCCCACCACTACAAAGCTTTAAACCACTCAGCAACAATGTTTTTTTTCTTAATGCTGACTGGCTGCAATCTGTGAAGAAGCAACGAGATTGAACGTTCAGAATGTCTATGGCATACATACGCAGACCTTCCGGAGAGCTAGTTTGTTTTGCTAGTGGCCACAGCAGCAATGAGTGCACAGAAAAAAATAGTGCGCAAAAGAATAAAATAAGAAAATTGAAAACTCCACATACTTGCATCACCAATGTCTTGTTTGAAGAAATTAGCACTTAGCAACAAATAATTATGAAATGAATGAGTGGCAAGAGCAGCGTTAAGACTTACTATCTTTGTTTCGTGCAATTTTCAGAGACAGTGTGGGTGCGCTGAACACAATTTGTTCTCAATCTTGTGTGCTCAGTCTGTTGTAAGCAGAAATGAATAGACCTTTTTTAAGAAATCTTAGAACAGCCCGCGGGTGCACAAAACACAATATAAAAAGTGTGTATGCTGAGCCAAGTGGACGTACCAATGCCTGTTACTCGTTGATGCCGTGGGAGCCCGAAATGAAAAGAATACACTGCCACTTCTGGACTATTTTTACATTGTAAAAAACTCAAACCTCGTTATAACGAAGTTGAAGGGGAACCACAATTATTTCATTATATCCATTATTTTGTTATATCGAATATAACAGTCTGTGACAATGTATGCTCAGATGGGCGCACACCTATAAGCATGCAAAGAAGGAAACCGCCTCGCGGCTCGATGTACCGCTACGCAACCACGCGTGCGACGGAAAATAAACAGTCGAACCTCATTAATTTGAACATGCTTAATTCAAACTCACACTGAGGTTCCATCAAAGCTATGTGTATTCCGATGAGCGAAAACGCCCTGTAATTCGAATGCGTGAGCACTTGCGACGGTTAATTCGAACATACCATGCTCCGAAAATGCTCTCAGCACCATGACCAATCTCGGGGCGGCACCTCTCCACGCTGCGCGCAAAGAAGGAAAAGAAGAAAGGGAAAGAAAAGACTGTGGCAGATTGTTCGCTCTCCCTCAAATGCCGATCTGCGACGCGCCTGTGCCACGCTTCTCCCTTTTCTGTTTCTGCACGTAGAGACCCTTCTCCTTTCACGGTCGTGCGCGGAGAGAGAGGAAAAAAAAGCTGTCGCGGAGAGTCCTCCTTTCTTGGTGCAGAGGGTAGCAGCGGAGACTCGGTCGTTGCCATCGTGAAAGGGAAATCGCATTGCACCGCGGCGCCGCTTCTTGGTCATGTGACCCGCTGAGCATTCCCTCAATCCTCTCCGCAGGCTGTGTGAGGAGGACAGCTCTCACGGGCGCGCGTGGCGTGGCTGTAAGGTCGGCGCGGTAGTTTTGAAAGAGCCGCGCCGAACGAGCGTCAAACTCCGCAGAAAACGATATACTTGACACACTACGGTTGTTTTTTTTATATATACTATTTGATAGTATAATTCAGTTCATTATATCCATTTACCTGTCAATTTTACTTCCTTACAGCGAGGTTACTGCATGGTTCTCAATGGAGCTTTCAAGGAGAATTTCATTTACTTCGTTATATCCAATATTTTGTTTCATCCCGTTGCATTATAACAAGGTTTGAGTTATTGTGCACAATTGAAGGAATCTTTGTGCATCCCTAAACATAAAATGTGAGAGGAATAATCCAGTCAGCGTAGGTATTACGAAGAAGATTTATGTTGCAAGTAATTAAGTGGAGCGTGCATTACCACGTACCAACACCACCAAGACATACAGCGGAACCCTGATTATTTGACTGAAAAGACCACGCAAAACCGTTGTACAGTGCCTGTAGCGAACCTCCATATAATGACTTCCTCGATATTATGAAGTTTTTCTATGCCCTGCTGGCACTCCAAAGAAGCACGTGTATTTGCAATCTCTACGTACCAAAGTAACAGCGGGAGACATTTTTGACAACAAATTTTCACCACAGACAATCAGGAATTTTTCCCTGGATTTTGCATTTTGGCACGAGCATGCATCTTCCAGGGTTTCCCCACCACTGGCAAAGCGACGGCGGCATGCTTGTGGCCATGGCGATTCCGAGGCGGGCCTGCGCCCCATTGAGTCAGCTTGCCGCTGCGGACGCATGCACAGATGTGCCTTACCCCTCCCTTCAAACAAAAAAAACAAACTACTGTACTTTTGCGTTGGCAGTGCCACCAGGTGCCACTCTTCAATTACCGCAGAAGTCTCTGAACTGCACTTTGACACAGGTGAAGCCTGTATGCTTTTACTTCACGTCACATATATAGGGCTGCGCTGCATATTGAAAGCGTTTTACCGAACAGTTTTTCATGGTTTCTGTGCCATTCTCTCATAGTTCTCGATGTCGTGCGCATGTGCATGCACTGCGTGCGCATGAAGTGGCCCCCAACACACGGCTACGTTTTTTTTGTTTTATTTTTTATGTCGACAACCGTGTTGTCACTACCGAGACAATGCCAGATTAGGTGCTGATGGAAACTCTCCAAGATCACGGTGACAATTTTTTTGGGGACGTCGACATGTCATGCACTTCCATTTTGCACCCGAGTTCGCGGAACAGTAGCCTTCACAGTTAGTTGATTAGCCCTGGAAACATGACGGTGCATTGAATGCAATGTAATAAATGTGATAGCAACAAATTGTATGTGATACAAAGTAAGGCTGGCAGCCAACCCTTTTGGATCAGGTATCGCGAAACTCCTACAAAAAGCTTGTGTTAGTAAATTCGGCTGCTCGAAGGAGAAGTGCTCCTGTCTCTTCATGTTGAAAGCGCACTGATGCTTGCTGGGATAGCACGCGCCTCAGTGATCGCGATCTTAACACCAAAGTTCACTGTTGCTACTCGTAAAAGTTACGATGCGAGGGGCACGTTAACAATTTGTACCAGTTAGGAAACATGGCGGCAACGGCAAAAGCCCATCGAGAGTGTCCATAAATTTGCTATCACAATATTAACACACTTCTTGTACAGCTAAATACCATATTTACTCGCGTAATGAATGCACTCACATAATAAACACACCCCCAACTTCAGTCATCAAAATTTGGAACCCCCCCCCCCCGCGCGTCATAAACGCACCCCCTACATTTAAGGGGGGACGTGGCAAGTAAAACTAATTTTTTTATTAATGTACTATTTGTGATGAAATTTGGTGTGTGTATGTGGATGATTGTGAGGATTCCAAATATGAAAACCGTTTTCAAATACCTCTTGTACTTTTTGAGTTACAAGCATAATTATACTAATTAATGCTCTTCACACTTAAAGAGATAATTATTGCTAAATGAAATTATTTTTTCATATTATTATGTTCCCAAAGCATCAACTTGTGCAAAGAAGCTATTAGTTGATTTTTCTAGTTCTTGTAACCATAAATAAAATTTTTAAAACATGGATGTTGTTTTGCGCACACATCGCAGTAATTATAAAATGTGTTCTAAAAATTTTAAATGATGAGTAAGAAGAGAGATAAAGCTTTATTGCACTGCTAAAGGCCTCCTGAGCCTAGTGCAAAAAACGGAACGACTCTATCAGTCTTTGTTAGAAAATGACAGATGTTCTAGCGAAGGCACATAGGCGAAACTGACTTTGAAAGTTCACTCTTGTTTGGAAGTTCACAACATGCCTAAAACACTCAGAATCCTCCTGGGCAGTAATCCTGAGATGCTGTGGCCTTGGCCTCTGTAGAGCGCAACCCAGTTTTGCGCTTCTTTGTCGTGGAAAAATGCGCCTTTTGAGCCCTCTTTACCCTTTTGGCATCCTTTTCGGCTGCTCGCCGCAAAGAGCAGTCTCCTGGATTGAAGCCCAGTTGAGCAGTGATCTCTTGCAGCGCACTCTTGCAGCCACCATTGAAACGGCAGACTGCATCTGCAACTGCACTTTCCACACTTCGAAGGGAGGCGAACTGGCTCTTGGACTGGAGTGACCAAATGAGGCTGTTCATACTCTCCACAGCGTTCTGGGTTTTTCCCTGCGCACACCTTTCAAGGAGCTCTTTGTTCGAGAGGCGCTTGTAGATTGGCAGCAGTGCCACTCGCACGTGAGGGGGCAGTTTATGTTTGTGAGGCGGCAGCGGCTCTCCCTTGGCCAATGCCTGATTGTGCGGGCACCAGGAGTCAGTCCCACTTGGGCACAGGTTGTGGTGTGGATCCTGGTCTGTGGATGTTACATGGTAATAAGTGGCCATGATGGCCCTCTCCATGCCAGGAACATCGTTGGGGTGGCTCTTAATGGCCCAGCCATAATAATTCGTCAACTTCTTTATCAGGCCCTGCGTCAGCCGGCCTTTGCCACCCATGCTCAGTCCTCGGCCTTTGGATTTGTGCTCATCAAGAAGGTTGCGCAAGGAAGTGCCCATTCTTTTTTTCACATGGTTCACACACTCCTGTTTCTTAATCACCATGTAGCCATACACCTTGTCTTGCGTGAGGGCAAGGTACGTACGGCTGTCACCGTCGCAGAGCACATTGATGTATCGAAGCTTGTACTTGGTAAACGATCTTTCAAACATGATCCTAGCTGCTTCTACTTCCATTTGGCCTGCATTAGCATCGGTGTTCTTTTGGCACTGTGGCTTGTGTTTCTCAAGCCACTCCTCATAGTTGTCGTCACCAGGCTTGGGGCCAACAGCACAGCCTTGGCAGTAGTTGGACAGGACACAGTGGTCCAAGACCAAGCCTGTGTACAGCTCGATTACACAGCCCACGCCAATATGACTTCTGTGCCCCCTCGTCATCCACGTGCCGTCGTAAATGACGTCAATGTTGCCTGGCACTCCTCCTAGGTCCTTGTAAATGTCATGCACCTTCTGTGCACTTTCTGCTTCAATGCGGGTGGCAGCTGATGTGGTGGCAGGGTGGCTGTACTTCCTTTGCAGTCTCTGGTAGGACTTGTGGTGCAGTGCTCGATGC